TTTACCTTTAAGTGGTGCCCAATGGATCACCTAGGTGCCAAGCATATTCTTCCCTGTCTCCAGAGTGGAACAGAAACCCTTCCCCCTCCTGCTGATCATGGTCAACTAACGCTGCCAGGAGGGTGACCATTCTTCCTGCTATTAGGTCCCTTGGTACAAGGTTCCTGAGTACCAGATGGCACTTCTCCTGGTAGAAGTGTCGCCTGAGAGCCAGGACCTTTACACCTGCAGAGCCCAGAGTTGTGAAGGTGGAAAACAATTCCTTCCCCAGTGGGTCCCTGGGAATGATGCAAGCAGGGCCTCTTGGTCTCCAGGCCTGTGTATTGTGCCTATTGAGTACATAGCACTGTGTAAAGGCTTTATATTTAAACTGTGGGCTGTCCTAGAGGATGGCACCTCATCCTCTTAAAGCATTGCCCCGGAGCAGGTGCTTCAGCTGTGCCTTTAACAGCCAGTTCCAACTGCCTATCAGGTCAGCTTCTTTTAGGTTCTGTGACTCAACCAGGGATCTCATGGTCACAGGCACACTCACAGCCCTGTCTTGCTGTAAGTGGGTTTCCAGGCCTGAAGTAATGTTACGACACATCCGGGCCAGTGGATCAAACATTCTGTGAGGCTTGGGGTAGCAGTGCTGGCTGAGGCTCTCCAAGCAGGAGAGGCAAACTCATATCTGGCTTATGTGTCTATTCCCATCAGAATGCATGTCTGTCCCTTCCAGGGTGGAAGGGGGTCCCATGTAGTTGACTTGTCTCCTAGTGGCTGGTTGGTCTCCTTGGGGGATAGTGCCAGTTAGGGGCAGTGCTGGTCTCTGTTGTTGGCAGATTCAGTTGCATAAATTGCTAGATCAGTCCTAGCAAGTGGGTGTATCAGTTATCTACTGCTGCATAACAAATAACCCCAAAGCTCAGTGGCACTTTCTGTGGATCAGGAATCCAGCCCTGGCTCGACTGGGGCCTCGAACTCAGGTCTCACGAGGCTGCCGTCAGCACATGGACCAGGCTGAGTCACGTGGCTTGGAAAGACCTGCTTCTGGGCTTGCTCACTGGGTACTCTACCTGCTGCCCCACGAATTATGAGTGTTTTCCGCTTTGGCCGTTGGACACACAAACTGTTCCTGGCTCTGCGTGAGCTCTGAGAGCTGTTAAGCCTGCTCCTTTCCCTGGTCCTTCCTCAGGCTGGGGACAGAGCGCGAGCCTGCTGTCGGCGCACAGCCAGACTTGAGGAGCAGACTGCAGGGCTGGGGGCTCGTCTCAGTGCAGCTCCCTGTTCTCTGGGGATGCTGACGGCCTTGGCCTGCCCGTGCCCTCAGCTCTGTTTGGCTCCTGGCCCCTCCTCTGTGGCCTTAGAAACTCTCCCCAGACAGCATGGTGGTGTGGTTGCAGAGCTCCTCTCGTCGTGTCCCTTCTCTCAGGGGTCCCTGTCCTGTGCTGCTACAACCAGTGTTTCACATGCTTAGCTCTTTCTAGTTGTCTGAGGTGGCAGGGTACAGCTGGTTCCTGTTGTTTTGTCACGGCCAGAAGGGGACGGCACACGTTTCCTAACATTCTGGGTGGCCATACTTCTTACCTGACCAGTCTAATAGTTGTAAAAGGGTGTTTCATGATCTTCAGTCGTATTTCCTTCATTACTAATGAGGTAAAACACCTTTTCATGTGTTTATTGGCTATACACGTTTCCTCTTGTATAAAATACTTTTACGTCTCATTTATTTTTCTTTGGATTGACTTCAATATATAGGAATTCTTTATATATTTTAGATATTACTCTTAATTACAAATATTGCAAAAATTAGCATCCAATTTGTGTTTTAGATTTTCACTTAAAAATAGAAATTCTTAATTTTAATGTAGTCAGATCTATCAATCTTTTCTTTTATGGCTAGCCTATTTTTGTCTTGAGGAAGAATTCACTCCTCCAAGGTCAAGAAGATATTTTGTATATGCTCTTGATAGTTCTGCTTCTCAGGTTCAAGTTTCAGCCCATCAGGAGCTGAGCTGCGGACGTGGTGTGAGGCCTATTTCCATCTTCCCCCGTGAACAACAACTCCCCGGCGCGGTCTATGCAGTGTGCCTGCCTCCTTACCGATTGAAACCCACCTCTGCAGCCCTGCAGCGGAGACGGTGTTTCTGCTCTCGCAGTGGCTGGTCTGTCACATGTTTTGGTGATCCTTCCAGGATCCTTGATCCCTGAGCCCTCCGGGGCTAAATTAGGGAAGCTTTCCTCCAGAGATGATTTCTTCCCCACTGTGACTCTGCTCAATGCCCTTCTCCACCCAGAACGCAAACCCAGCATCCTCCACACCCTGGCCTAGGGTAAGCGTCCCAGCAGCCACGCCCCTTCAGGATGCCGCCTGCTCCCCCCCAGCCCACACTGAATTTCAGGGGGTGGCCGGTGGAGAGTGTAGGGGTAGACATCTCCAGAGTCTAGCTGAATTGCCGTGGAGGGTCTCTCAGAGCACCTAATGGAAGGGAAGTCCAGACCATTTTCTATACATTTATATACATAGGGCTGTGTGTGTGTGTGTGTGTGTGTGTGTGTGTGTGTAATTTTTGTAAAACTACTGGGCTCACTCTTTTGTATTGTGCTATAATTTTGATTTCTCTGAAGACATGTCTTGGAAAGCATTCCTTGTTGGTGTGGCTCATTCTTATTCAGTTTTAGTATTGTAATAGTATTTGATACCCCAGATACAGCATAAAGTGTTTAACCATTTGGGTATTGCGTTAAAAAGGCCTGTGGCACTTTACAGGTCTCTAGGAGAAATGGACAGGGTGCCATCTTAAATTTGAAACATAAGATAAGAAAAATAAATTGCTCTAATCTCCCAGTGCTTTAACAACCAGATCTAAACATGCCCTGTCACCTGACGTGGTTGCTCAGTTGTCTCCGGCAAGGAGCAAACCTCAGGGACTAGGGAAAGGCCGCACGCCTGTTTCTTCTGTTCTTCCAGATCTTTCGTTCCAGGGGCAGCTCTCAGACTGTACAGGTGCGAGGATTTTAATCTAGAGTCCATGGGTTGGCTTACGGGGACCCTTTAAATCCAGGAAATGGTAAAGTTAGGAGTGTGAGTGTGCGTGTTTTCTTTGGGGAGGCTCCCTTTTCTAGGGGGAAGTAGCCTGAGAAGGCTCCCTCCTTCTGCTCAGGAAACCACCCTGGGTACCCAGAGGGATTTCTGCGTGCATGAAGACCCGTGCTGCCCATTTCACATCTTTGCAGGGGACACCAGAAGTGCATAACCAAGTACCCACAGGTAGTTAATCAGGCACTGAGAGATCAGTCCTGAAGCTTGCACAATGACCTGCCGTGTTGTGACTGGAGCGTGGTGACTCTTCTTGTATCCACTACCGAAACACAAAGCCCAAAGGCAACACCTCAGCTGGAGACCCAGTGCGTCTCAGCCACTGCCCTGTCAGGTGAGTTGCAGGTTATCTTCTTAGACTGCTACAACCAGGCACAAAGAATGCACTTGCCCTGTCCCGACGAGTCACTGCCAGCTGTCAGCGTCTCAGGTTCACACAGTATCACTGTTCTGAAGGCACACATGATTTCTCATGTCGCGTGGAACGTATGTAATGGGATGGAGAGCTTGAAGTGTACGATTCACAGCTGCAGCCTTTGTCATGAACCCAACACAACAACACGCTGCCTTCCATTCTCTCCTGCTGCCCTAAATTGTCATCACCAAACATGAATTAAACACCAGGATTAGCAATTGTTCAACTAAGGGATAATGTCTCCACAAAAAATATTCACATAATTTAAACAGTGAAGATTTTGCTTTAAGTCGATTCCATTTCTTCGATTATTTTTAACTTAACAATGTCTCATGGTACTTTAGAGTCCATTGTGGGATGAGGGACAAGGGGGCAAGGGTGGTTGTTGGACTTTTAGTTTAATGTTCTGTTTTACTGGTAGAAACCAAACCTCTCAGGACCAGATCAACGGCAGTGACCAATAAGCTTTGCAGAAACAAGCAGTGTTTCCCCTCTGACCCCCATCGGCTTGGACAGGGTGTCAGGTCGCTAGATTCAGATAAACCTTCAGTGGTGAGCAATTCCTTGAGTGGCAAATATGATCCGAACAGAATCACAATACTTTTTTAAAAATGCATGTTTGATCCCTGAACAGGCTTAGTAACAATGGCTCTTTTTAATTTCAGAGTATAGTCCTCATTCCCAAGGACCTGATTGTGTCAAAAGTACTCGATCAATCAAAGATTTAATAGTTCTGACTTTTTTTGTGTGGCTTGCTAAGCCTAGGCGCCTTCTAAAGAAACACATACAAAAAATCCCTTCAAGAATAGAATTCTTTCGGGGCTGGCCCCGTGGCTGAGTGGTTAAGTTCGCGCGCTCCGCTGCAGGCGGCCCAGTGTTTTGTTGGTTCGAATCCTGGGCGTGGACATGGCACTACTCATCAGACCACGCTGAGGCAGCGTCCCACATGCCACAACTAGAAGAACCCACAACGAAGAATACACAACTATGTACCGGGGGGCTTTGGGGAGAAAAAGGAAAAAATAAAATCTTTAAAAAAAAAAAAAAAGAATAGAATTCTTTCCTAGTTATTGTGAAACTTCCAGGCACTTCAAATTACAAAAGATACTTTACCATTCTTTGTATCACAGCAAGCAAAATAAAAGCAAATTAGTTAACTAGAAATGAGTGTGAACAATCTTAGTGGGATGGTGGAAATGTTCTAATCTGGATTGTGGTGATGATTGCACAACTCTGTAAATTTGCTAAAAATCATTGAATTATACGCTTAAAATAGGTGAATTTTATAGTATATAAATTACACCTCAATAAAGTTACTCACACACACAAATTAGTTGCAATGCTTCATAAGACCACAGAATGTCAGCAAAGACAACCATGAAGGAATTTTCCATACACCTTTTTCCAGGGAGAACACCACCAGCCACTAGATGTCACTGCTTTCACTGCAAAAAGTACTTCCTTCTGGGTCTCAGACGCTTGAAGTTACCACACCAGAGTCAGGTATCAGGAATAAGGAAAGATCTTCAAATATTGTTAGGCAGTTTTACAATGATTGAGCTATAAAAACATTTTACCCATAGAATATACAATAAACAGAAAAGATCTCATACCTCAATAATTTTCAATAAGCAAACTAGAAATTCATTCCTATTGAAATATTAAAATCATTTAAAACTAGTTTTGGACTAGTTAGACATTCTAGTAAATACGTTATATAAACTTTTATTTTTATGACATAGTTTACATTTTAAAAAATGTATATTTTAAAGTATAATTAAAAATTTCCATCTAATTTTCTTTCAGTTAGAAAAGAAAATCCATTAAACTTTTCAAATAACTAGTTAACGTGAAGAAATCTTTTAAAAGGAGTACAGTCTCTCTTGTTACTTCTTTAGTTCTTACAGAAACATAAGAATAATGAATCGGGTTACAGGAAGGCAGACTTCTGACCCACAGCGAGGACCGCGGCCGCTCGGGGCAGGTGCGCTCCCGCCTCCTCCTCCTGCTCGGCGGCCTGGATGAGATGAGGAAGGCGGAGGGAACCTGCGGGCTGGAAGAGTTTCAGTCAGTCACACTTGGAGCATATTTACAGGTAACTGTAAATGAAGCACCATTTTTCCAAAAAAAGTCTCCATGTGTCAAAATCTTAACTGTGGCATCAAATGTATTTTAACCCTGGCTGGTTAGGTGAGGAAAAGGATAATAAAAATTCTGGCTGATCAAAGTAGTATGTGCGTGTGTGTTTCTTTTTAAACAAATTAATACTGAAATGGATTAATGTTCTAAAATTTGGAATGTCTAACATTCTCTTCTTATTCATAATTTCATGTTTCATATCAAGTCCCTGAACTGAAATTGTTCAAAGGCATACGACCTAATTCTCACTCCTCTGTGTCACTAATCTGCCCTCAGCAATCGCCGAGGCTCATTGGTGCCTTCATCTCCAGTTACATTTTCTTCATCTTTTGAGCTGAGATAACAAGACAAATGCTGATCTGGCATCTACTAAGCATCAAGATAGAACATATTTTTTAAACTGTGAAAATATCACTGCTCTCGCACAGTGAATGAAACACTTTCCCAATGTCATCAATAACTTCCAGGGGTGTGATCATGCTTATCCGACCCTCATGAGGCCAACAGTCTGAACAGGTTAAGAACTAAGATGCCACCCGTGGCCAGGACTGACAGGTACCCACACGTTACATGGTGAGCAAGACTCTTCGACCTTGGTCTCCCTTTCCTTTATGTTCTAACCACCTAAGTAACTAATTATAAGCAAAAAGCAAAATTGGCAATTTAGTGAGAAATGATTGATCTATTTTAAAGTCACTTATTTGCTAACACTTTATGACCTGGAAGTAATTGATAAGGTTCCTATATCAAATAGCTCATTCTACTTGCAAGTAACTGTGTACCTGTATACTCCTGGGGGAAAATCTACACTCATAGGATTTTCAGATCTTGTCAAATTATTGCCCCTCCCCCATAACAGTTTGCCTACAACTTCCCAGGGTAACTGTGAACAAAATTCACTAAACTAGATCAGAGAAAACTGCTTTTACCCCTACTGTCAAGGGACTCTGGCACACACTTGGAGAGTCCATGGCAGAAAATATCACCCATCAGCTTTGAAGTCTTCATAGACTTAGAATGTTTCAAAGAAAACAAGGAGTTATAGAAGAAGCACACACGATATGTAGGGCTGTGGTTGTGACAATAAACACTCTTATGTGCTCAGTAAATCCTGGATAAGTGCGCCCATTCCAGAGCATCCATGACTGAAGGAAAAACTGGATAAGGCCTGACCCCAGAACATACAGTTCAGTGTTCTCCATTAGTGTGCTTCAGAAACAGGCATGGAACCGGTTAAAAACAGGAATACCCTGACCTACTGAATCCACGTTCAAGACACACGGAACTGCAAACAGAATAAACATATGGGCACACTCATGTCATCCTCTATCTAAAAAGCCCGTTTGCATTAAAAGCCTCTTTATTTGGGCTCCTTACCTCCTCAAAAGTGTACCAGTAGTTACTGTGCTTTGAAAAGTAAGAATTTAAAAATCTATTCCTAAGTCGAGCCTGACACTGGTCTGCTGTAAGTCAGTGCTTTCCAGAGCTCACCAGACACTGAAAGCAAGACATATCACAAGCCTTGTTAAGAGCTATTGTTCTAGAAACTATTGTACCATCTGTCAAATATCCTTCATAAAGCGGTAGGCCATGATGGATCCGGCAGGGTTCCTGTGTCCTCCCATTGTTTCGAGGAGACCAGCTGGACCTTTGCACAGCAAATGACAGGGTTTCCTTCCAGTGTTTCCATCTATTCAGACGACTAGGGCAAATGCTTTCTCAGAAAGCTATGCTTTCACCAAAGCTGGGTGAAAACCTAGTTTATAGAAAAATAGAGGCACCATGGTAACATAAAGATGACTACATTAGTTAAGAAGTCTGAGTATTTCTAGTCTCTCCATTGCTAATAACTATCCACATTTAAGTTACTAATATTAAAAACACACGGCTTTGTTCACTAGAACAGGACAGGTTCAGGTATTCCTAAACCGAACCACTTGGAACCACAGAACGACCTTTCCACAGCCACACCTACTGCAGCACACGCCTCTCTGGTCACTCTCCTGCCTTTGGGTCCAGGCGAGAAGGCAGCTGCCAGGGCAGAGGTGCTGCGCCCCCTGCCGGCTTCTGCTCCTGTGGGGCCCATCGTGTGGCACCTGGCACAGGGTAAGCACTCAGTAAATGGCAGCAATGATGTCTGATGACCACAAGTGCACAAATTACAGCATCCATATAACTCAGCACGTGACTGAACAAAGCCCGTGAAGGTGCTGGTAAGTCAGCGTGGCCACCGCCCCCGGTCCTCTCCCCTCCGGATTCGTCTCACTAACGCTATCTCACTTGCTGCCTTGAAGGAATGAACATGCTGACCGTGTCTCTTTCTAGAAACGCCACCTCACATGGCCCTGAAGAGGGGACAGTAACTTAAGGAAACAGGTGGCGTGGTCAATGAATTCCAGGTATCTCTCTCACACAAGAGCGACTGGTGAGAGCGGCTGTCCCCGAGGAGGGCAACTGGCTTGAAGCCAGGGAGGGGAGACTGACTTTTCAATATATACTGTTTCATCTTCTGAATTTTTGTACCTCAGGTATGTCTTATCTATATTAAAAGGTAAAGCATTTTTTACCATGTTAATTTTTGAAAAGTACAAAGACACAATTTGTATTTTTAAGAAGTAACGGCTTCCCTTAAGTAGTTGGGGAGTGGAAAGGCGAGCTTCCCACGCCCTTGGCCGCTGCCCTACCCATGCTCCCCACACCTGGGAGGGTGTGGGCAGAAGCTGGGGTAGGACAGGGACCGAGAGAAGCAAAACCTTTGGTTCAGGAGGACTCAGGTTTTGACTGGTTTCCACACAAAGGAAGCAAAGGAACTCCTACTGTAGATGCGGAGCAGCTTTATCTCCACCTCGCATCTGCTGCCCAGGGAAGGCAAAGCCCTGAATCAAAGAAAGGACCGATGGCACAGGAAGTGAGTGAGTGAGCGAGTGTGTGTGTGTGTTGTGTTGTGTAGTCCAAATGACCCATGCTGGGTCAGCTTTTCAATGCTGTTTTTTAAAATATTATTTTAATAGAGAAAGAAATCTGAAAACACTGCATCCTCTTGAAAAGACAGAGTTGGAAAGAACGAAGGTGGCATTTTATTTGAGCAAGTACAATCGAGTACAACAAAGCACAAGGTTAGTTTCCTCCTCTTATTCATATTTTCCATCCCTGATGGAATTATGTGTGAAAGTGTGAAGAGAATGGCCCGGGAAAGAAATCTCTTAAGTCTCACTCAAAGCAAGCCATCACACATACCCCATGGCAAAGCAGATCTTTGAAGACCAAGCAATACTGTGTTAAAAATGCTTTGTGTAGGGGCTGGCACCGTGGCCGAGTGGTTAAGTTCGTGTGCTCCGCTGCAGGAGGCCCAGTGTTTCGTTGGTTCGAATCCTGGGCGCGGACATGACACTGCTCATCAAACCACACTAAGGCAGTGTCCCACATGCCACAACTAGAAGGACCCACAACCAAGAATATACAACTATGTACTGGGGGGCTTTGGGGAGAAAAAGGAAAAAATAAAATCTTAAAAAAAAATGCTTTGTGTTAAAAATACATTTGGAATTCTAAAATGTGTAAATATGAAATGTAATTACAAGAAAATGAATTTATGAGGAAATATGCTACACACAAAGCATAAAGATTAAAACCCACCATGCTTGAGTGGCTCAGAATTGGGCCTGCGTCTTTAGGATGCCCTTAGAAAAGGGGAGGCCCGCTGAAGTTTCCTGGTACACTACGACAGAGCAGTGTCACGTCCTGGCCAGCCAATGGCAACAGCTCTGCTTGTCTCACGGTGTCCAAATTGCTTACTGATTTTCAGTTGTAGATAAGAAAAACAGTATGTTGGTTTCACAAGTCCTCATATTTTTAAAGGTGCACTTTAGGCAACAGGGCACAGCCTGTACTCGACATGAGATGAGAGTATGAGGAAAACTGCGCTTGCTGAGGCAGAACGCCCTCGGTTTCGGGCAAGCGTAGTGCTTAAGCACACTTAAATACATGGCACAAGTTCATTTCCTTTACTTTCCCGTTTCTAATGATTTAACGTCATGAACTACCAAGTTAAATCTGACAAGGTGGTGTAATCCCATGATCCAGGGTCAGTAATTTTTATGTCCAAAAGTCCAGATTCTGAAACTTCTAGGATAAAGAGAAAAGACACAAATGCAGTGATAGCTGTGGATTCTCTGCAACACTGTGGTACCAGACACAACTTCCCACCGCCCACCACTGTCTTCAGTGAGAGGCTGCAGAAGGAGCTGACTGAGGCTGCAGGGAGAGCTACCCAAACATGCTATCTCAGTAGCAAAAGCTTTGGTTTCAGGGACAAATGAGATAAGCAAGAATTAAGAGTTTCTGCGTATCTTTGAGAGCTCAAGCCCCAGCTCTCAAAAGCTGCGCCCAACTTCCTGGGCACTATCAGCGCTCACGCATCAACCCGATGGCAGACACTGACGGCCACATGCTTTACAGAAGCCTGAGCCCTCCCAGCCACACGAACTGAGTCTTCCTTAGCTAGTAATCCAGAGCTCCTGTTTGCATTCTCCCTGCCAGGATTGGTTAAGGAAGGAGATTATGATGAAAATCTAGCTGCTGAGACTCAGGAACTCTGCTGCCAAAAGTCTTCTGTGCCAGTTTTTCTTGCTCCTAAAACAGGACAGAAGAAAGGGGTGCTGTCTGTTCCCTCCCTGGAGCCCGCAACTGTGGCAGCAATATGTGTTAGGATCAGGGGACCAGCCTAAACAGGGCGCAGGAAGAACGTGGCGGCGATGCCACTGTTAAGTCACTAAATTAAGCAACCCTGGGACTTCCTATACCTCTGAACTTCTTGTTCTGTGAGATAATGAAATTTCCTTATTGTTTAAACCACTGGGTGTGGGCGGTGCGGGGGAGAGGCACCTGCTATTTGTGGTCCCAAGTAATCAGATG